GCAATTCGCTGTCAGGCCAATTCTGTATGTCTGTGCGCTCGGGAGCGCTGATTCCAACACGCTTACCGCAATGAATGTATCAATCAGAGTGGCCACCGGCAAAAGAAAGAACAGCAAACATGTGAAGCCCAGAAGATTTCCATGTCACGAGCTTCAGCCCAAGTGACATGGAAGCCGATACACAACCCCTTTCAACTGGGGAAAAACAAGAACAAGTTTCAAACATGCAAGTATTCTACTCTTGTATGGATGTATCTCAAAATAGGGGTTTCCTGTAAAAGGCAGACCCATATCTGGGCTGGGACAGCGATTGGCTCCCTCAAACTCTTAATGTCACATCACGTTCAAAATGCTGACACGCCAAGCCGCCGTGTCTCCTTAGGCATGTACGGCGAACCTTAATGCTCAACTCCTAAGTGTTTGGTCTATTTAATTTCGATTATGGCCTTGGAATACCCCTTGTGCACGTCCATGATTGGAAAGAGGTTCGCCCATGTTTTGGCAAGATAAACAGGTGCCGCCCTGCGGATTTCCCTTGGACAACTTTGGCAGGTGTTTCTTTGGGCATATAATTTATTGGCAGTCAGCCAATCTCCGTGGGAGAAAGAAGTTGGCCCTCTTCCGCCCTCTTCTGGTGCTCAGCAGGGAATGAGAGATGGAATGACCCCAAGAAAACCATCCAACTGGTTTTCCTTTATTCGGGAATCCTTGTGTTCATTGCATTTGGAATGAGGGAATGACCATCATAAACCATCCCTTGTGGTGTCCATTAAGGGAATCCCAAAACGGTTCATTCCATTTCACATTCCCTAGCGATTTCGCACCGATCGCAAATAACCACAGCTCTGCCCTGGGAACCTCACATGTTTCGGGTCCGGTGAAAACCTCCGAAGAAATCGCTTCACAATGGGATGGATACCCTGCTTCCATTTGCGTTTAGGGCCCCTGGAAAAGAAACAAACAAACACACGTCCAGTGATAGATTCCCCTTAAAACCAACAAGGGGAAATAGACGGAAGAATGGGATAGACTATCTACCAACTGCGAAATGGAGTTGTCCAAACAGGTCCGGGGCTCCCAGCTCAAAGCCTTCCTCCACCTCGCTGTGCTGCACAAGCCTCACGTCGGGCCACTCGAAACTGGGGGTCATGACCCCCCGGACCCCCGAGCCCTCCAATTGGAGAACCAATTCCGACCCCCAAAGTTTTTTGGGGCCTTCTCCTTCTTTCCCCCTCCCCCGATAAATCGCTGCGAAGAGACACTGTGCGCAATCGCAAAGGCAAAATATCGACCCTTTAAAAATCCAAGACTTGTTGTTTTCTGTTGTTTTTGTGTCTAAGCATTGCACGCATCCTCGGCCCATCCAGAACGGCAAGCAGTTGTGCCGTCAAACTATGAAAAGGCTACCCCCAACACGACGGACCACTTGGTTCCTTGTTTTCTGCAAATGGGTCCTTAGGATTGACACAGACCAATGTGTCCCTGGCCTGTCATTGATTAGCGTTCATCCAAACTCGGTTGCTTTCTGCTCCCCTGCTAAAAGTTTAACTCTTAGTGGTTTAATACGGAACACCCATTAGTTGGCAAACAGTTTTCTTGTCCTAACATCCAAGCAAAATGCACCAAAGCAAAGGCCCAAACCTTCCAAAGCGCGGGGATTCGGGTGAGGCTTCCCGGTGAGCCACCGCTCACTGCTAATTAAACCTGGCAGAGTGCTTGGATGCTTTCAAGTGAAGGATCCCATCTCATGTTGACCCAGGATTAATACACCCGTCCCATTATTGGGGGGTGTGTGCCCTCCAAAAGTGGTGTGAATCCCCACAAAAGGGGACACCCCCTATTAATCAACCAGGGGTTTATTAATCCGGGGTGATTGCTTGGCACTTGAAAAAACCGCCAGGGCGTTCTTGCTCAACCATTGTTATGGTAGCAAAACTAGTTGCCCTTTGCAGCTTTGAAAAAAACTCAGTTGTTCAGTGACCCTGGAAAAAAAGGGGGAACCCTTTTTGGGGAAGACCATTTTAGTGGGGCAGCCACCAAAAAAGAAGGGAAACCTACTTGGTGCCACTGAAGAACTGAGAAAAGGAAGAGAACCCGAAAACCTGGAAGTGCCTCGCGATCCCTCCGTTGCAAGCTGAGTCCCAGGCATGATTCTGCATGGGCGTAGCGTCAGCACGGAATCCCTGGTTGATATGTTGGAAGAAATTGGCTAGAGTCCGTGGGTTGGTTTGTTTGGTTGCTTTGGCTGTGTGGTGCTTGGGTTGGTTGCTCGGTTGCTTTGGCTGTGGAGTGGCTTGGGAGAGTTGATGTGGTGTGGGTAGTGGTTTCCAGTGGATTTGAGGGGTCAGAGGTTTGGAGAGGTGCTTAAACGTGCCGGTTGAAACGCGCTCACAGTGAAGGGACTGCTCATTTTTGGGAAGAAGGGCTCATCTCAACTTTTCAACACAGTCACCACTTCTGCAGTTCATGGCCATTCTTGCTTGCCTTTTTCTTGCTCTCATTGCCATGCAGATGGCCGCCATATATGTTCTAAGCCTTGAGCGCAAATGGGACAGGTAAAAGCTCTGCGTGATATGGGAAGCAGCTGCCCGCTGGACAACTCCTGACGTTTGAATTGCTTCAGGGCTTCTCGCGCGCCCTGTACCTCCGACGATCTACGGCACGCATCCCGATGGAATCTCCATTCAAGACGTACCCAGAAGGACAAGCTGCAGGGCTGCGTCTGGCTTCTTGCCATGAATGGGGCGGGCGCCTTTGAAGCGAATCCACAGGTGTGTGTCTGTGTGTCTTTTTCAGGGATCGGACCCTTTGGTGTCTTTTTAAAACCACAAAAAAGGTACCAACTCCAAAGACGACGAGCCACTCACATGTGGCCATGGGTCAAAATCCCGTACCCCCAGTGAACATCGCAATCCCCACTAAAATAGTCTAAAATGGGCGGTACACCTACCCCAAAATGGTGCCATTGGTTTTGACCCACAGCCATGTCTGCAAACCCCCCTTCTGGAGCACTCCTGGCGTATCCCGGAGCTATCGAAAGCCAAAAAAGGCCCTGAAGGGGCCAATCGCCAGTCCAACAATTCAAACGCCCTGCGGGCAAAGTACTGGGTTGCCCGTTTTCTGATCCCCTGCTAAAAGTGACTAACTTTTTGTGGGTTACATAGAAACTACCACTAAACCCAAAAAAGCTAAAAAGCTAAGGAACCGGATGGCTGGGAGCCACCAAGAGCACATCTTTCATCTGTATCATTCACCAACCTGCCATGAAGCAATCATATCTGTACGGCTTTTTTATTCACAAGCCTATCAGGGATTAGCCAACCTGTCGTTCGATAATCACGCAAACTATAAACATTGTTCAACTCGTCGGACACCAGTTCCCCCTTTCAAGATGATGGTGCACTGACGGGGCCTAAAGTGAAGATAACTGCTGCTGCTTGGAGTTCCGGCGCGCACTTCCCCATGCCTGGGTCCCAGCAGAGAGGTTAGAATAAGGGTACCCTTTGCTCTGTAGTCGTTTTAGCAGGGGAACCCTCCCCCAAAAAAGGGTGAGAAAGGGCACCTAGCTGGAGGACCTAGATGCTATCCATCTTCTAGACATCGCCTGACACCTGCTCCGTTCGGGCGGTGACCTTTGGATGGGCGGATCCCGTGGCCGGCCAAACGGGCCGCTAGGAGCTGCTGATAGCGACTGGCTATGCTGCAATGGCTCCCCCCTTGCCATGGCTGTAAATCAGTAGACGGTCAAGGACCGCTGACCATGGTGCAGGCGTGCTCTCTGGCATCTCCTTTTTCTGACCAAAGACCAAAGGGCCCACAGTATTGAGGCAAATGCGGCCTATTTAGCAACCACTCCAAAAGGCTTGTTTCATGCTGGCTTCTTTTATGAACAAACAGCTGACGGTCCCAAAGTTGGACATATACCCACATGTGCTATGGTCAAACCTCCGTCCTGGTCATAGCTCTCTTAATTTTCAACCCATGATGGTTGCCTAAGCTCCGCCTCCAGTGGTCGATGACCATCCCTGCCAACTTGTCATTTAACACAGTCTAAGTTTTTGATATTTCCAAGGTTCAGGTTTCAGACCATTTAGAAGCTTTCTACGGGGTTAGGAGGGGGTTAATGGCTGCTTCGACCATGGCACAAATGGCCGAACGACCGCGGCGCGTGTGCATTTGTCCACGTAAAGCGAGGGGCGTGTCCCTTGGGGACCAATCTGGGGATGGCGCTGGCAGCTTCCGGTTGCAGTCTGCAATGCCAAGGTCATGAACTCAACCAAAAAAAACTGGTATCGAAGGGAAACCATGCTGTGCCCCGCATGCAGAACAACAAGTTTCTGACTCTCCCAAACACCAACCAAGGTGAAATACTTTTCACGGAAATGCAGACCAACAAAGTGCGGAACTTTGCACCACCTTGCCCTCCCAATTGCTGGTTTCCCTCGAGTTCCTTTTGATCCCATGCAAACATGGGCCTGAGTTTCAAATTTTGACAACCGCAAGGTCCGCAATCCATGGGTCATGGTTTAACCTTGGATAGTACTCAAGACATGGAAACTACCTCAGCTTGGCCCTGGCCAAAGTACTATGTTTCATTCTGGTTTATATTTATGGAACCTCACCATGGACAAATTTAAAGTTGGAACCTCTAGAAGTCTAGAAGGCTCTTTTGAGGTCCAAACCCCTCCACTGGAGATGCTTGCGGATTGCCCTGTTTCTCTTGAATAGAGATCCCTGGAATACCCAAAAGGTTTCGAATTTCGACACCTTCGCAAGGCAAAAAGGCTCAATGGCACCACAGCCCAGCAACACAAGCTGCCCGCTGCCTTGTCCAGTGTCTTCGCCGGGCGGCGAAAACGGGCCATTAACCCGACGTCGTGCCCTGTCCGCGCTGGCGCCAAACAAACAGCCGCGAGATTGATGGACGTCTGAAGCACCAAGCGTGTCTTTCTTTTTTGGGGGGACCCTTTGTGAGGGTGGTGTCTGTTGGTTTCCCTTTAAACACCACCAAACAAGGGGTACCGACTCCAATGAAGGCGAGGCACCCATCTCCCAAGATGTTAAGCTCGCCTGCGCGGATCTCTCAAGCTCGCGACGTCTTGATCATCGAGAATCTGGCCGACCTCGCAAGGCGCAAGAGCAGTAGTGGGGGTGGGTGGGTGGGTGGGTGGGTGGGTGGGTGGGTGGGTGGGTGGGTGGGTGGGTGGGTGGGTGGGTGGGTGGGTGGGTGGGTGGGTGGGTAGGTGGGTGGGTGGTGGGTGGGTGGGTGGGTGGGTGGGTGGCTGTGTGGTGGGTGGGTGTGGGTGGGTGGGTGTGGGTGGGTGGGTGTGGGTGGGTGGGTGTGGGTGGGTGGGTGTGGGTGGGTGGGTGTGGGTGGGTGTGGGTGGGTGGGTGTGGGTGGGTGGGTGTGGGTGGGTGGGTGGGTGTGGGTGGGTGTGTGGGGGTGGGTGGGTGGGTGGGTGGGGGTGGGTGGGGGTGGGTGGGTGGCGGTGGGTGGGTGTGGGTGGGTGGGTGGGTGTGGGTGGGTGGGTGGGTGGGTGGGTGGACGGATGGGTGGGCGGATGGGTGGGCACGCGGGCAGTGGGGTGGACAACAGGCACGGTTGCGGATGACTAGTCAGCATATCGCAGAGAAGCACACTTACACGACAGGCTTTCCGGCATGTCACGCTACTGCAACCTGGCCAATTACAAACGTGGTCACTCAAAGGGAGTTGTGCGTGTGACTCCTTCCCTCTCGGCCCATCTTGTCCACTGTGCCATTGACTGTCAGCTTTTGTCACTCTGAGGAATGTCTTGCAAAATGTGCGCTATGAGCGGTATGATTGAAATGTGTAGTTCTCCGGGACCTTCCCCATCATGGTCTCGAGTTGCTGAATATGCAAATAGCCCGACTGCATCTCACAGCTACCTACTCCCCTCCCATTGCCCAGTGCCCACAGCCCAAAAGGCACACACAGCTGTCTCCGGACACTTGTGGTTCACATTGGTCAAGCCTTCAAATTCCTGCCATCGAATCAAATCCCGCATGCCAAAAAGTATGAAGCGCGCAAAGCAGCTCGGGAAGTGAGCCTCACATGACTAGGTCCTCCAGTGGAGAGGTTAGAACTAAGGTACCTCTTTTTCTGTAGTCTACTTTAGTAGGGGAACCCTCCCAACCAAAACAGTAGGCGAAGAAAAACACCAATTGCTAGGGGCCCCAAAATTCAAAGCTTTCAGCCTGGGCCCCAAACCCCACACCCCCGACCGACCCACCGACAATGAAGCAAGCCCCGGGGATATCCCCCGGGCCCCCGGGCGGTTTTCTTTGCCTCACCGCTTAGCCAAGGCCTGCTGCGCGGCGTCCAAGGCGTTGATGGCCTCGATTTCGGCATGGCGCTCAGCCGTTTTCGGGACTGGAGGGCAGGGGCCGAGTTTTACCGGGAGTCTCCTTCTGACCATAGTCCTTTTAGGTTGGCAATAGATGGATTCCCCTGGTAGATGATATTCAACCGCCAGGTAAACCAGGAATCGCATTCTATTTTTCGACCAAAACAACCACCTATGTCCATGACCCTTAGAAAATGGTTGGTCAGTACCCAAGGTCATGACCCCTTTTTTGAAGGGTCATGGAGACTCCAGGTCATTGAAATGGGGTTGTGGGGTACCTGAAACCACAACTAATCATTGTTGTAGGCATGAACCATTCGTAGTTTCTCCCCTGATTGGCCCCTTATGATCCTTATCTAAGAGACCAGCTCCTTGTGTCTCTGCAGGAAGGGGCCCTTAAGCAAGAATTTTGAGGGCTTCTCAAATGGGCCTTTCCCTTTAAACCAGCATTTGGTGTGTGTGTGTGTGTGTCTGTTTTCGGGGAGCTCTTTGGGGAGCTCAAAGTTGTGACTTTCCTTTTGCCTTCCCTCAACCACAAAGCAAGTTGTCTCAAGATAGACCGGGTGGTCTCCCCGGAACCACCCAGAGCTATCTCAGAGTGCCCATAGCTTTTTGCTGGGGATGCTATGGAGGAGTTCTAGGAACTCCATGATTCGGTGAAATGGAAAACATGCGTCAGTGACGGACCAAGAGTCCCAAATTGCGGGTGAATCGATTCACCCTTCAAAAGTTAGTCAATTCATTGGGAGTTTCCATTGAATCGATCGCGACTTTAGGTTCCAAAAAGACAAACGAAGGACACCCTGCAGGAAAGCTCCCTGGAAGCCTTGCTCTGAAAGTGTCCCTTCAACCAGCTAACCTGCTAGCAAAAAGCTTTTTTGGCCCTAGACTGTGATGTAAAGACTCCTGGCAAGAAGCTGACAGCTTATGCAAATTAGTTACACGCGAATCGTTCATGCGAATCAAAAGAATCAAAAGGAAACAAGGGATGACCATAGGTGTCCTTTTCGGATGGAAATAGATGGATTTTCCTGGCAGATGATTAATGCAACCACCAGGTAGGTAGATGAAATTCAACCACCAGGTAAATAGATGAAATTCAACCACCAGGTGGGTAGATGAATTCAAGCACCAGGTAAGCCAGGAATCGAAACCCACCGCCACCATTTCTTTTCGACCAAAACCAACCAAAAAGGACGCGTTTCTGGGGATGACCGGGTGGAGTTCAAAGGCCCGGGGGGGGGTCCGCGTTCCGGGACGCCGAACAGGTTTGTTGCGAGCCTCTGGCCAGAAAAAGGCGTGCCCTTTTCTGGGGATCGCCCCCAAAAACCAAAACAAAAAAAACAAAAACACCTGTGCTCCTGTTCTTTTCTCTTTGAAGCCAAGCAAAATGGGACCCTCCGGCCATCAACAACTGGGTGCGCAAGAATTTGCGCGAGAAGCAGACGAGCGCCGGGCGGTTTCGAAGCTGGCGGAGATGGTCTTGACCGCCTCGCGCGCTTTCTGCTGACCTAAGGGCAGCGGGGTTTTGCCAGTGGCCCAAGCTGAGCTGAGAAGGCGACCCTCTGACTTGGCTGAGCTGCTAGAAAAAGCGGAAATTGGTTTGGCCCTATGATATAAAGGCCCTGGCAAGACCATGAAAGTTTTAGAAAACCACATGCAACCATAGTTGTCCTTTTAGGTTGGAAATAGATGGATTTTCCCCTTAGACTAAGCCACAGGGTAAACCAGGAATCGCCATCTATGTTTCGACCAAAACAACCAAAAAGGACACCTATGGCTACCCATCTAACTTGGCCGAACGTCCAAGCTGCACGAGTCCCGTTCCCTTGGCTTGGCCTTGTTTGTAGCTGACCCTGGCATCCTCACCTTTCCCTTGCTGTCCCCTGCTTTACCTTCTTTGCATCGTCCTTCACACTCGCCACAGGGAAGTAGCAGCCAGGTCACGCAGCATGGCTGGCTCATTCTCCTGCGGACGGATTCCGCACTTACCAACGATGAAGCACAACACGATCACGCATCACTACCTTGAATCTGTTGGGAACAGAACCTGCAAAAGTTGGCTGGTCTTCGAATGTAGGTATACATTACAACATTTGGTTTGTCGGACTCCGTGACTTGTCGGAAGCCATGATTGTCGAACTGACTGCATGCCGTGTTTAATATACATTTGGGCCCAGTGTATGCCGATGAGGTACATCCATCTACAACAGCGATTTGGCGCGAATTAACGTGATTAGTTTCCCTGATAGCTGTCGAACATGCATTTGCCGAACTTGTCGAACTCAACTTTTCAAATGTATCCATGACCCTTAGACCAATAGAAAATGGGGGTCATTACCCAAATAAAGGGGTCATGACCCCCATGTTTAAAGGGTTATGGAGACTCCAGGTAGCCTCTCAGGGCAACATTGGTCTCATAAATATCATAAACCCCGATGTTGCTTCTCAGGCCTACGTTCGTGAATGTGAGTAAACATCGCCTACATTGGAGTGTCTGGGATTGGGATTTGGTCATTGCCATGGCTTGAAACAAAAGGAACCGTGCCCATAAGGACACCTCTGATTCATACCCCCGCGCTCCCGCCATGCCAAGAAACAAGTTGAAGCTTTAAGTCGGGGGCATGTGATACATATCCATCAGTGGCTGGGCAAACAACTTTGATTTGGGATCAAGCCGTCAATCGCAGCAATGCCCGGGACACATTGTGCGCTTTCCGCCTTCTCCGCTCCAGGGCTCTTTGGCGAGTTCCCATTCGCTAGCCTGCGTGGTTGCCGTTGAGAGCCCAAAAAGGACATGTGTGGTTGGTGTCGTTTTCGTTCCTCTGAAAGCCATCCCAGAAGGGAACCCCTATTCTGGTAAACACCCAGGTCAAGCCAGTAAAACGCATGGACTAGTGGCTCTAAGTGATGGTCCGCTTTGGAGCAGAATTGCTTTGGCCATTGCACTGTAGGCAAAGTGAGTCTCTCCTGTCGGAGCCCCGGCGTTGTGAAGGGACACCAATAGGCTGGCCTTTCAGGAGGGATCGGCTGATTTCATGAAACTGCCCCTGGCCGAGGGCGCTAGAAAAGGGGTTGGGACAAGTTTTACACACCCAGCCTCTTCTTGCTTTAGGGGAGTTGAACATGCTGGGCTAGCAGCCAAAAGTCAACAACAAATCTGCCAAATCCAAACATGCTTGCATGTGCCCTTCCACCAACATTCAACCGGGGCCCGCTCTCCAGAAAGCCAGCTTCCTTTGATAAATAGAGATTCGAGGCCTTTTTGTTTGTGAGTGGGGTACAGCTGCCAGAATGCCGGCATTGGCAATACATTTGGCCAGTGAGGTATCACCAAGCAGAATACGCCCAACTGTGCCAAATGTCGCGTGGTCCAGTCAAGCCAATTTGAGTATGTTTATCCTCATAAAATCCAGAACCCCTTCGAGCCAAAACGGAGCGAAAGAAAACCACACATCGCTGCTTCCGTTGAGCAGATGTGTCATCTTGCTGCTTCAGGGTCGAAACAGTTGGGGGTCAAGGGTTCCGAGATATATTGGTCTTGAGTGCTGCATCATGTTTCATCCTCCCCTGACTTGATATGTCATTGCCAAAACGCCTCCCGAGTTGATGGTTTCTTCCGGAGATGCGGT